ATGCATGTGGAAATTGAATCTCTCGTAAAGGGCATTTGTAGTTAGGTAATGCACTAATGTCTGATGGAATTTGGATCTTCATATCATATGAAAGAATAGTAAAAAATATTAATGACTGTCTTTAGAACATTAGTAGTTAAAGTATAATAAATCTATTTTTACAATATCAAAGATATATTTCTGTGATGTGGGGTATGTAAAAACAATTAAAAAAATAAGAAAATAATTAAATATTATATTAGATATGATATTGATTTTTAATTATTAAAACAAGACAATAAATAATATTTGAAAGAAAAGTGTTAAAAATTAAAAAAATAATGAAATAAAAATAGATTATATATATATTTTTTATAATTTTTAACAAGTTTTAATTAATACAAAAACATATATATGGAAAAGAATATTATACCAAAGCAAAATTTGGAACAGTTTCCAATTTCAATATTGATCATGCATTCCGATCGAGAAAGTCTGATCCCAAGAAAATTTCTCTTGTGGGATAGCAGTGGAAGTGCACATCATGGATTGGTTGGTCTTTTGTGTAGTGGGAAATAAAACCTGCAAAAATCTTCAATTGAGTAAACGAGAGTGAGATGAGACAAAGGGATGTTGTAAAATGTGAAAATAGAGGTGCAATGCAATGCATGGTTTGAACTGAAATACGTTGGTTTTTACACAATTTTGGGATGAGAATTCGATTTAGGATCTCATCTTAGATACGACAACACACGAGAAACAAGAAAAAAGTAATTTGATAAAACTACGAAATCGATGGATATTTGTTTTTGTTGTGCTTTTGCCATCATAGGAAACCAATTAGCTGGACTATAATTGTTATGTTCTCTCTATTTTGGTCAAAGGATTATTGAAAATGATATTTTAACTCCAGAATACCCACATCACCTATCAACACTTTTATTGAGAAAATAAAAGTAATATATAATTGAAATTCGTATTTTTATTTTATTGTTTATAAAATAATAATTAATTTCAGTTGTCATACTAGATCTTCTTTAGAAAAAAAAAACCACATTGACAAATTGGGGTAAGCAAATATTTTTGCGCAATGTGAGAGTGAGAGAATATAATTACAGCAATTAATCTGAATATTTTGACTGAGTAATAAAGTTATTCTTCTGTTAATTATTCAATGAAGTTAGTGTATATATGTAAGAGGCAATATTAAAATTAGAATTTTATCTTAAAAATTAACAGTAATTTTTAGTACCAATTTTTAATGTTAGTCATAAAAAAAACTTCAATTTAATTGAAAAATAATATAAACACTTAAAGCATTGCAAGTTTTATCTGTTTGGTAACGTTATTTCAAAAAGGTCAAAGAATATTAAAAAGAAAAGCAAACTACACTAAGAATTTAAATCTTGCCTTCAAATTTAATTTTAAAAGCGAATGAATTGTAAGATATTTATAATTTTAATCCAATAAACATATTTTAAATTGATTTTTGTGTCAATTCATACTGTATCAAAGGTTATTAAAATGCACATTTCACATTAGCCTATTATATGCTTAAACCAACTGAGACCATCCTATTAGGATAGAGAAATATACATTTAGTTAAGTATAATACTTTTGTCTAATCCGAAATTTTTAAGCCTAATTGATTTGGTACAAATTCATGCACACGAGTTTTTTTTTAATCGAATCTTTAATAAAATAAAACAAAAACCAATTAAGAAATGGATAACAATATATATATCCACCCCATCCACCAAATAATAGTCCCCAGCAAAAGATAATATTTTTATTACACTTATTTTTATTAATGCAATCTGTATTTAACAAAAAAAAATATTAATATAGATATTATACACTTATATTATACTAATTGTTATCAAGAGGTTATGTATCCAATAGCAAAAGAGATCTTTATCGATCAACTACAAGCAAATTATTGAGTCAAGTTTAAACAATGTACTTAACTCAAAACTTTTTAAAACTTTGAAGTTGAGGCTTTTTTGCAGTAAAAATTATCAGAGAGAAAAAATCAAGCGTCCTTATTTTGATAGAAACACTTTAAAATAATAATAATTTTTATCTTCATCAGTTGAATTTACATAGAACTTGCTATTTGCAGTGTTTATAGAACAGTATTGGCTGCAGAATTTTGAGGCTATTCAAGATTCAACCAACTATATATTTAACAAGGAACAGTGTTTCTGAACTGTCCTTAAACATTTATTTATTTTCTTTTTGAAATTTGATTTGTAACTCAAACTATACGTTAATTTGTTCCCTGCTAGGTATTTTCTTTTATGATGCTTGTCTTTCTTTCTATGAAACATTCTTTTTGTATGCAAATGTAACACTATCGTTGGCATTGTATGGCTTAGAATCATCATTATTTCCAGACACTTTTCTAGGTATTTTGGCCTTAATAAAGTTACAATGTGTTTTTAACTAAGAAAATAAATTACTTCAATATCAAAATAATAATTGATAATAACATAACTTTTTGTTTGCATATATATATATATATATATATATATATATTTTCATAATAGCTTATTAAAATAAAAGATAGAAAGAAACTTAAGTTTGGTGTAAGATCTTTGAGAATCGATTCACACAAGTTTTAAAGCAAATAATCATTAATCCGATTGAAAGAAAGAACTTGCAAATTTGGATTATTTTGATACAATACTATCAAAATCAAACTAGTTCAAACTAAATTTTTATATTTTAGATTGTATTAGTTATTGTGTTTTTTACTTTTTTTATTTTTAAGAGATAATATTTTAATTTTTTAGTTCGTAAATAAATAAAATCTTATAACCTAGTTTATATTACAAACAACAAGTCAAAATAATCTCATTTTTTTCTTAATAAAATACAAATATCTCCCATAAAATATACTTTATGCTAGTCTTTATGTAATGATAAAATAAAAAATTATATAAATTTAATATATTTGTAGTTTAAGTTGGTTTAATTTTAATTATAAGATCTAAAAATCAAACCAAATCACATAAGATATTTTTTATTATTGCAATCAACAATTTTTTAATTTTTAATTATGAGAAACAGAGATTTGAGAGAAAAAGATTATCAAAATGCTGAACATATTAGATGAAACAAAAATAGTTTTTTTAAGAACTTAGAACAGTTTTTTCAGTGTTTTTATTTAATTTGCCAATTGTGCTAGCTAACTATAAAGCACTCATTTCTTCCAAAATACCTTAAATTCCAGATAATAATTTAGCTATCTCAGACGAGCATTCAATGTATAGATAACCCAGCAACAATTTGCTGTTTGCTTCTTCATTTCATTTCTATTACCACACTCAACATGTGCCATCATTAGCTTCTTCTTTTTTCATTATAACCTTACCCTTTAAACAAGAATGAACATTTGTAAAGATGTAGTAGCATAGATGACATGAACATAAGGCCCAAGGGCCTTAGAGCTGCAAGTAGATCAACTTACTGATTCAATTGGGTACCTCTCATGATTAAAAAAACTTGGTACCCTCCACATATTTATTTTTTTAAAAGTTTTTGTTTGCTTAGAATCTTACTCCAAAAATGTTACCTTGTTTGGCTGTCCAATTTTGCTTGTCATGAAAGGGTACTCCAAAAACAATAGTTGTTTCTTTTATATATGTATGTACCTTTGAGATAATGACGTTGGCCCCTTTTGGCAATTTGTATAATACTGTCTTTATGTACGGAATTTTAATGGAAAACTTTACTGAAAATAGGAAGTGAGAAATAAAACACAAAAAGTCTTTTGTTGGATGAAGAGGCTCTTTGAACATTGTTATTGATATTAATTAATTTTTATTAGAACACTTTCACAAAAGGGGTGGTGGCGCAGTTGGCTAGCGCGTAGGTCTCATAGCTTTAGTTGAGTTATCCTGAGGTCGAGAGTTCGAGCCTCTCTCACCCCATCATATATTTTACAAGTTTTAGAAAATTTGTTATTTAACTTTAAATTGTTTTAATTTATGATAGAAATTTTATTTAATAAATTTTAAATGTAAAATTAATCAATTAAAAAGTTAAATTATTTTTTTTATAATCATATATATTAAATTTTATATAATAAAATAATACCATAAGTATTTATTTATTTTATAAAAATTTATAAAATGATCTCCTAAATAACAACATTCAATTTATAAAAGTGGGGTAAATGTCTATGTTGGCCATGTGTGCAATTGAAGAAATTCTACATTAACAAAATATTCTTATTTCTTTTTTCTACGAAGTTTATAAAAACACAATTCACAACGTTTACTTACATAACACAATATCAGGCCTGTATAGAAGAGTTCATGAGTATACCAACTGTGTGTAGGTGCAGAAATTTCATTATGAGAAAAAAAGAGACACCCCTTTGAGTTTCACCTAGTGCATCATATCATATCACGGTCAAATTCAAAGCCATGCCAAACTAAACTCCACATCAAAAGATTCCATGACCTTTGAACTAAAGGAGTCTTCAAGTGAATGAAAGAACCTTTTCCAGGTGATGCGTTGCATGTGCTTCCCAATTTCTTTCTTGAACTGGTTCCCTGAGATTTTCTCTGCACTTTATTTGATTCCAGTTTGAGGGCTTCCTTCAGTGCCTGAAGAATAGATCATACAGAACAAAGGCTTATCAATGGCATGATAAATTTAAGTTTCCTTTAAATGAACCGTGTTTTTTTTATCATACACAAGCTTCTTCATGTGTATAGTACAACAGCATGGCTTTCACATCTCTTGTAGGGATATTGCTTGGCTTAAAGAATTCCTCTTTGTTTGAGATTTTCCTGGAGCAGCTCTCAGTGACACCAAGTTGCGTGATCTCAGATGATATTCATTTTGGTATCTTCCTGGAGGTGAAGGAGATCCAGTGCTTGGAGGTGAAGGATAAGGTGTAATCCTAATAAGTGTGCAAATAGACCTAGGTTGATTTTCAATTGAGTAACCATAACCATCCAGTCCCCATAACTCATCATCAGTGGTAGTAAACTCTGATGAAGTAGTTTCTAAGTAGTTGAAAGAACCCTTTCCTTTGAAAGCAGATGATTGATTGCTTGTGGTTTTCTAATTCTTTCTTGCATGGTTCCTAGAGTTGGTTTCTTCACTTTGTTTGACTTCATTATGCATGTTTCCTTCTGCGCCTACAAAAATGCATCATATTGAGGAAAGGCGTATTGTTAAAATTTGCTTCATATGAAACATGTTTCCCTTCACAAAGGCAGGCTTCTCCATATCTGTGGTGTAGCAGCTTGGCTTTCTCACCCCTTGTGGGGATATGGCTTGGCTTGAAACCTTTCTATGTCCTTGAGATCCTTCAGCTATATGTGACACAAAGTTCATTGATATTGGATGATATTTACTATTGCATCTTCTTGAAGGTGAAAGAGATCTAGCCCTGGAAGGTGAAGGAGGGCTAACACTCTGAATAAGGAACATAGGAAATGGTGTAGAGGTTAAGTCACCAAAAGTGTCTAGTCCAGAGAAATCATCATCAAAGGTGCCATCATTTTTCTCTAGGTTCCCTTCATTTCTAGATGATACTGGAGCAGGGCAAGTATAAACAGCATCATGTGATGATTTCACCGTTGACATTACTTCTTTTTCCGTTGAATGTTTATAACACACTGAAGAACTTGGGGCGGTAATATTCCCATGCTGTAACAGTTTCAACAGAAAATAAACAGATGAGGTTAATCTTTGAGGCATTTGGTTAGTGGACACCCTGATTCTCACTTTTCTTGTCTCTTTTTCGTAGGCTTTGGTATGTAATTTCCAAGTACTTGGACGCATATAATCGAGAAATGTGCTAACAACACATTTTCTAACATATTTTTCTTAATACACTCTTTATTATTAGCCAAAATTTATTGAGAATTACAAAATTATGTGATCTCACTTCTAATTTAATGAGTCTCACTCATAATTTTGTAATTTTCAATAAATTTTAAACAGTAACTGAGAGTATACTGCTAGTGCTCTCTTATATAAGATATCTGGGAGTCTAATGTTTTCTATGCCATAACCAATATGAATTACACTTTTTGCTTATGTCACAGATAAACTATAAATAGTTTTCTAAGTGATGAGAACATCAGGATGCTTGGACAGTATATTCATGAGCTTTCTTGCACCACGAAGAAATATGTTTGAGAGACAATGCACTGATAAGCACTGCGTCCATATGCACATTTTTGGTGTATTTGACTAAAGTTAGGGAGTTCACTTTAGAGGAGAAAGTACAATTATAACATTGATTAAAAAAAATCAAAACTTGAGATTATAACAATTTCAGAGTTTGTTATACAGGTACTTAAATCTTCTTGCAATCTCAACCTTTGATGAGCTAAAATATTAATAACTGGCAAATCCCAAGGCTCAAATTTGTAAATATCAACCTCAGTTATGACATCATGCAGGTTGGAATCATTACCTTAGGCTCCAAGTAGTATTTCACAATCTCTTCATCATAAGGATGGAATCTGAATACAGGCCTTCTTGGGCTACCCATACTTGTTGGAGTTTAATTTGCACATACAAAAGTAGAGAAGTACTGAAAGTGGAAGTGGATGAAGTAGCTCAAAGTTTAGAACTAAAGAGTGAAGAGTGATGTGTGATAGAAGGACTTGACTGTGCTTTGTCTGATTTGCCATTCATGGCTTAACTAAGAAGCCAAACTTTAGTGTTAAATATGATGGTATTGGGTGTGTGTTTGTGGCTAGCTATGTTTTCACACGTAAGGAAATGGATCCCACAACCTAAACAGTATTTGTACACATCATGAATCTGCCACGTAATAGAGTTTAGTGCATTTTTTTTTATGTATACTGGAACTTTTATTTAATTTTATTTCACAGGAGTTACATGATTTGATAAAGTTATATTAAAATAATTTATATTTATAAGTTAAAAATTATTTCTTAAAATATATTAATGTTTGCTTGTAAAATAATGTTTTAATAAGTTTTTTAAAAAATTGTGGACCAATTGGTATTTAGTCGGATCAAAGCAGAACAAAATATATTCAAAATTCAACTTTAACAACGCAAACTATATACGTTTTTGTTAAATTATTTGGAGATATGCTATTTTGATTCCTCTGATCATGGATCACTCTAAGCACTACGCACGAAAGTTAACCAAAAAAATAAGTTGACCCATGAAAGTGGATGGATTGGTACTTTTTTTTCAGTTAGCTGTTATCTTTATTAGTCTTAATCAAGTAAATTAATGATTAATGTAATGGAGATATTAGTGGTGATGTGGCCTAAAACACTTCTATTTTTTTTAATTTTCAAATAATTTTTTAAAAAACTTTTTACACAAGAAAAAAATTGGTTAAAAAAATATTTTTTTAAAATAATTTATATTTCTTTATTTTTTTAAAAATTATTAAATTTTTTAAAGTTTGAAAATACAACTTATTTTTAACTTATAATATAAGTTTTACTTATTTATTTATTTTTCTCTAAAAAATAATTTATTTTTTATTTGTTTGAAAAATTATTTTATTTTATTTCTTTAAAATTTAAAAAGATAAATTATATTTTAACCTATGAGAGAAATTTTATTTATTTTTTATACTAATTTTTTCTTTTACAATGATTAAGTTTACTCAAATTAGGCTAATATTAAAGTAATGCTAATATTAAAATAAAATCATTAAAAAATGAACAATGTTGTACAGGAAAAGACACACAAAAGCAAATGAAAATTTTCATATTTGTCATTGAATCCCTTTAGATTGCAAAGCCAGTGGATAATATTGAGGGATTTATATGAGTGTAATTAGACTTCCCGAGTCAATAATTTTACTTGGTAAATATGAATCCATGAAACAATGAGCCTTGCTCCCCAAGTTTCTCTGTTGCTCCCACTATCTCAACTCATTGTCCTTTCCTTTTACTTCTAATGAAAATCGAATCTTTTGAGCCAAATGGTTTTTTGCCCCACCATCTCAAGTCGTTGTAATTATCCTTGGAGTCTTTTTTTTTTTTAAATGGTGGTTTATTATACTCCCACTAGTTTGTCTCCTAAAATTTAGAAATTTATTTTGTTAAAAGGACAAATAAATGTACCCTTTTTTAATGCTTGTTATTGAAAATCAAGAAAGTAGATGTGTGTTATTGAAAATCAAGAACACATGTAAGAAAATCAAGAAATAATTTTGTTATTGAAAATTGTATTATTCAATGTTATTAATATATTAAATTTTATAATACTTTATTATTTTTAATAAAAATTTACTATCCATAAATTCTTATTCTGTGCACTTGAACTCATAAAAACCGAATCAAGTTGTAAGGTTTATGCTTGTTTCCTATATTGCAACTTTCATCCACAAGAAACACTGAGCTAAGCGATAAAAAACTAAAACTAAAAGGCAGTGATGATAAGATGTTTTTAATGTTTATAGATTGATTTCACTCTTCTTCGTATCTTAATTTTCGGTTTCCTTTTAGCTAATGGAATTGAAGCAGGGTTGACTTAATCTACAAAAATGGTTTCCCCTTCTGCTTCATGTGGAAGTAGATGTGTGTGTATGCATGCCCTTTAAGAGTTACAGGTTGAAAGGAAATATTGTCCTGAATATTTAGATTTCTATATTCTGGTTAAGCGCTTAAGCATCTCATATTACAACTCAAATCCTTATACATATTTGTCATAGAGAATCTTCTCAAAGTTGATTCCACATACAGAATACAAATTGGATTCTTAAGAAAGGGATTCTTTGATGGGCTTTCACACTTATTTTCCATAACATCTTACTACTTCTCATAAGGCAGAGAGCATCATTAGGCATCTAGCTACTGTTTTTTGTTGGCATCTTTGACAGAATACAAAATTGGATTCTTAAGAAAGGGATTTTTTGATGGGCTTTCACACTTATTTTTCATAACATCTTAATACTTATCATAAGGCAGAGAGCATCATCAGGCATCTAGCTACTGTTTTTTGTTGGCATCTTTGATGCAGAAACTGTGTTCTTTACCTTTAAACTAAAGGCTCACTGCTCACACTCCAAACTGTGCTCTCCATGCAGCCATTGAGTTTTTCAACATAGGCTCTGCTTGTTTAGTATTCATATCTTCTGCAAATTGCCACCATTGTCATTGTCTATAGTCAGTTTCTCTTATTTGGGAAGCTAATATATATTGGAACTTTTGTTCTTGTAAGGAAAGAGAAGTGTGGTTCAACTGTTACCCTGTGTGTGAGAAGAGCTGCTCTTGGATCTATTTTTGCTTCAAGAATTTGGTCCACATGAGATACACAAGACAAAATTCACCTGGCCTTACAATGATGCAACTTACTGCATCTTTCCTATCATAACCAAATATCTAAAGCTGAAAGTGATGGTTTGTTTCCACAGTTATTAATTCAACAATTGCAATCCTAATGTTTTAGACCATGTGGTTAAATTAAACTCTTGTAACTTGATTTGTCAACTATTCTTTGATTATAAGCTTTCTCATATGTAGCTAATATAACTGTTTCTTGAAAGGATTGTTAAGAGAAATTGAAGACCCTCCTACCTAGAAAAAGCCTCTGCTTGCTTTTCCTAAGAAAAATTTGAAGCCTTTCACAATTCGCGCACTTCTCTGTTTTATCATACTGTCATTGAATAAATAAAAGAAGCTTTGGATGGTTTGAATAGTTGAATTCCGTACATTTTGCTATGTCCTTTTGAATAATGATTTTGCTCAGTTTCAACTAAATGATATTTTTTATTTAGGAACACTCAGAAATTGGCCATGCATATTTTATTGGACAAAAGTATCTTACTGGATGTCCAACTAATTTTCATTTTTCATCAATTTTGTTCAGATTTACTCACAGATCAGTTTATGACTCAACACTGCTAAAGATTCAAAATGGTACAACTTTTGTTCTCATGAACTAAAGTAGCGATACAACAAAAATTTGGTTACTGATTTAGTATCTTGAGTGAGCTAATATGGTGATAATAGTCTTTGAAGGATTAATGCGATAACATGCTAATCTTTGGAGAATCAAGTTAGGGGTTTGCTCCATATTTTGATTATACATGATATCACAACTGCTAATAGAAAGACTATGAAAAAGTTACAATTACAAATGGTTAACATAGATATTTCATAATAAGAAAGATACAATAAGCTTGCATCAGTGGTGACTCCATGTGAATATACACATTAACTATCTTATAATGATGAATTCCTAAAACAAAGCTTAACTAATAGCAGCACTACAAGAAAAGGAATCACAGCACCCCTCACCAGCCCTTCATCTGTACAGACTGCACTTGTAACATGACAACACTTCCAAACTAATGACTATGATCAACAAAATCCCTATGACTACATTGACAAGATACACCGAGTGTAGCAATAGGATTTCGCTTGATGAAGGCGTGTCAATGTAGATGAAAGAACCATTTCTATTGACATAATAGGATTGAAGAACAGAAACAGAACTTCACAAAGATCTCTCTCTTCACTTACACAATCTATCAAATTCACAGAATTTTCTCTTCCAATCTGATTTCCCTTATTTATAACTAATCTCTTCTAACTAACTAGTCCAACTAACTAGGGTAACTGATTATTCAGTCTCCTTATACATCCCAAAAATGAAGCATCTACCTACTTGGTCAAGCAGGCTTCTCCATTTCTCAAGTGCAGCTGCTTGATTTTCTCACCTCAAGATGGGATACTGCATTGCTTGAAACCTTCCTCTGTGTCTGAGATCCTTCTTGCAGCAGTCTTTTGTCACATGCAGTTGTCTGCTTTTGGATGAGACTGATTTTTCCAGTTCCTTACAGTGGAAGGAGAACTAGAAATTTCAATATAACTGATCTCCCAAGATTTATCTGTGGTTGAGTCGCAAGAGGATGTCTGCACTCCCCCAAAATCATCTTGAATAATACTCTCCTTTTGCTTGTTATTTACTTCATGGCTAGAAGATAGAAGATATACACCACCATGGATTGTGCCATGTGATGATTTTAACCTTTTTGATGGATGATATTCCCTCGGATTAGGGCATTCATCACATATTGTTGAAATATCCCCAATATTGCCATGCTGTAATAATTTCAGAAGAAATTAAATAGATGAAGTCAATTCTTGAAGTGCTCAAAATAAAGAAAAGATCACAAACCCAAGAAAAGAGTACTTTTGAAGTATTAGGGTGTATGTTGGTGAGGAGATGATGAATGCACTGAAGTCTTAGTAATGTTCCATGAATGATGACTCATGACAAAATATCAAAACCAAATCTAACCAGACATTTCATCTGAGTATCTTTTAACCTATAGAATTTACAAATTGTTGAGAAACAAACATATATATTATAATATCATTTGGACTTTGGACAATTTATCTTTACCAGGGCAGAGATTACTTCAGCATCTGTATCACTGCTTTCATAGTGTACCCTTTTCAATGATTTTGATTGGGTAGAACTGTTGACAAAAGCATGTTCTTTATCTTCTTTGTTGATAACAAAAACATCATCAACTAACATAGAACTAATGAACTCATTTTCCTCTTCAATAGTTTCAAATGGAGTTGGCGTAATAATGTTTTCATTTCTAAAATAGGCATCGTCGTGAAATGGGGAGTTCGTGAAAAATGCTTCCTGCTCAATTGCAATTGGAGAATGTTGCTCTTGAGAGAAGTATATCTCTGCTTGTTGCATCGCCTGAAAGATAGTATCCATGCTCATTTCTGGCAAAGTACTTCCTACCTGAAACAAAGATAAAACATGTATAAGTTCTCAGCATGTTTCACACGACAGAAATTCAAACATGTCCAGCAAGGATGCTTCTGCTTACATCTGCAATTCCTTCAGATGTTACTTGATTTTCATAGTCGGAAGCCATGTTTCTACTTGGCTCAGCTTCATCACAGATCAATGCATCAGTTCCCCTTTCATCTCTTTTGCCATCTTTCTTCATCAAGCGACATAAAACAAAAGTCCTCTACAAATTTGAATAATAATAATCATTTATTTGATACAATTTTTACAATATAAATCAGGCTTATGCTTCAAATCACAGTTTTATTCACAGAAATAACTGAAAAAAAGAATGGCTCGGTACGGGCATGAAGCAAAATCATCAGTTCAGTTCAAAGTGAAAGTCATCTCAAAAAATGGTAAATATTAGAAATTGACAGTTTTCCACGAAAACAGATGGTAAATTTCATCACCAAACAAATCAAGCTGAGAAATTTTGGTCATGAATAAAGTATGAAGCAAAATACAAACATGGGATTCAAACAAGGATCCAATAGCCTTCTAATGTCAGAACAACCAGTCACATAGAAATAATATCAAAGCCTGAAAAAACCATGCTTTAACCATTCAACTGACAAAAAAATATCATTATTATAAGGATGATTTCCAAAGTCCAAACAGAGTTAAACGTAACATTTATTGAACAAAAGTAACAAACCTGGCTTTCAGGAAAGGTAACAGCATGATATTCATGAATAACCCAGTCAGACTTGACACTATCAGAAACACCGCCTTCATAGAAAACAAGAGTCTTCTTGGTCCCAATGACATTGTTGGTTCCTTTTACCTTGATGTAGCGGTCATTTCCAGTGGATTTCCAAAACCCACCCTTTGTTTTTCTGTTAACCCTTTTACTTTTTGGATACTTGTAATCAACAGGACTGAAGAAAAACCATTCTGGGTCTTCGGATTTTATCTTTGATTTTTCTGATATCACAATTTGAAACAAGAAAAGAATCAAACAACATTGAAACATAGGTAAGAACCACAATAGGCCAATTTTTTATTGCATGATGATGAAGGGTACATTACCTCGGACTTCCCAAGGATCCACCTTGCAAAGGTCAATCTCAGGGATGATGTTCACACCGATTTCATCGTCCAACAACTTGTGTCTGAGGTAATGGTCCACTAGCTCTTCATCTTTTGGACAAAATCTGAATCCTATAGGCACGTTTTCCAGCTTTGGAACTATGTTCTTCATTGCTTTTGTTTTGATCAACACAAACAACTAGGGACAGTGAAAGAAGGGAGTGTATGTTTGTGTTGTGGATTGGCTCTTGAATCTCCCTTTGTAGTGCAAAGGTATTTATTGGCTGACTTTGAAGTTGATCAACTTAGCTCACAAGTTATCGTTGGAAAATATAAAAACAAAAACAAAAACAGAGGAAACTGTCTTGTATTGTATGAATTGTTCCTCCTTTTCTATTTTCCTTTTCTTAAAACTAATATAATAATATATATGAAATCACCAATAACTGATTGATACGTCTATATATTCTTCAGCTAGTTGAATAACCTACCAAAGAATGACACGTTTTGTCAATGCATATAACATGTGACATCATAAGACTCAGTTTACGTAAAAAGAAAATACATGAACTGTGTCATTCTTATACAATATCAAATTCCAAACAAATTACGAAATTTTAATTCTTGAATAGAGGGAAAAGGTGAAATTCAGGTTGCATATGTTATGAGAAATATGATAAGATTTCATGTTTTTTTTTAATAATATAAACGAAATTATAAAATGACAGAAGTTATTATTTTATAACTTATTATGATGTATAATTTTTTAAGCACAAACTGTAAAGTTGGTTCCACAGATCTTAAAGTCACATTAATATATTGGAATAATTGTCAAGTGGATTTAAATATTATCATGAGTAATTGTTCTTGTATGTTTTTTTTTTTTTTTCCTTATATTTCTCTTCCTTTCACCCATTTAACACTTTTTCAATCAAGGGATCATTGTTCTTAATGAAAATGCGGAAAAGTCTCCTACTAGTATAGGTAAAAGGGCTTCGATCGATTGTTCTCAACGATGCATTTGCGAAATGCGAAAATGCAAAGAAGTTGCGACGTTAAAAGGAATGCCGTGTTCAAGGCCACTGGTAAATATGTATTGACTATAAAAAAAGTATTTTCACTAAGGCTTTGCGGAATCGGTTTTTGGAAAGAAAAAAAGAAAATTCTTATACGATATTTAGTCATATTTGTAGTTTTTTGGACAAAAACAAAAATTTTTAAATTTTTAAATTTTCTATTTTTAGGTTCTGCTAATTTTAAATTTTTTATATTTATATTTTATTTTTAAAATATTTTTTATTTATAATTATGCCCTTAACTGCACTTTAAAAGAAATTGCTTATTCCTATCCTTGTTTCAGAATTCCATTTTCTATTCGAGAGTGCAAGACTTGACTTACTTTTTGAATATGAAGTGCGATGCTTTTAGGCATTGTTTGGATATACGTAGTGAAGTGTCCGTACTAATACCGCGTAAGAAAAAAGAATCTTCTTATTCCTCACACAACCCTTGCATGGGTCACTTTCTATGATGTGGACAAAAGTTTATTTAACATATATTTTATCAATCTTTAGGTATATAAGCCGTTACGAGTCTCTATCACCAAGACTAATGACCTCATTGCAATCACTAAATATTTTATATTATATGTACTTTTTATTGAACTAATATTTAACTTGGGTAGATCAATATGGAAAATAAAGTCTTTCTTTTAATTATTTAACATAATTACGTTTATTGTAATTTAAATTTAAAATTATAAATTAAGTTGAAACAACTCCAATCAATTAATTCTAGTAGTGTAGATTATCTTATTAATATTTTTAATTAATGAAAATATAAGAGCTTTTTCTTGTAATTTGTTACGAGTTTCTATTAATGGAGCTCAACAATTATTACTTTTTAAATCAATCTAATAAATAAAAAAAATTAACATGGCTAACTTTATTGTAAATAAAATCTATTCGTTTTGTAATTAAAAAAATTTATTTTTCATACTTCTTTTATTTCAAATTGATTAGTCTTTAAAGTTTATTTATAAGGATTAAGAAAAGGACTAACAAATATATAAGAAAAGGAGTACATTTTAATTAAAAAAGAACATATTTTAACATAAATTTATGATTAAAATTAAATTAATCACTCATCTTAATTACGTTCAAAATTTCAGAATTGTTTTTATTAAAATCAATTTTACACACCCTATCGTACTTTGGTTCGTGTCTTACTGTTTTGTTCTTGATCCCCAAGTTTCTTGTTTGGCCCACCAATTTCAATTCCTTGCTCTTTCAATCGACAGAAAGCAGAATCTTCTTTAGCCAATTTCTATGCTTCTTTTGCTATCTTTTGGTGGTTTGTTATGCTCCCCACTACTACCATCTGAATGATCTGAAAAATGCTTCATTCTATTCAACTTTATAGTCAATAGATAAATAAATGATTATAAAGTGAGTTTCGCTGTATCTTCTTATTTATCATCATAATATTTTTATCTTATTTTATAAAATAAGTATCAAATTATAAAATCTATATATTTATTATTTTAAAAATATAAAATATATTAAATGCTTTCTTTATTTAATAGTTAAGAAAAATTATAGAAATAAATGATATAATGATTTAGAATTACTCTTATAAAGTTTGAGCATCTTTTCAAGGAAGTTACATGAATTCAGCAGGTGAATAAATATTTATGGCAATTGACTCGATCATTCTTTCCCACTTTTATTTTTTAGGACGTGGAAATGGGTGCAAGGCCTTAGAATCCACGTAAATGTTTGAATTAACTTAAAAAAAAACATTGTTCTTTAACTAATCCTTGTATTTGTTTGAATTAACATTTTCGAGACCAATTTAGGTTGTGAATAGCTTTATTAAGGATTAAGTTAGCACAATATTTATTTTTTATGAACTAATTACGAGCTATAAATGGAGGAAAAATTATTGAAAGATTAAAGTGTGTCTCTCTATTATTTAATTAATGAAAATAGTTTTTATTTTTATCTTCATAAATAAAGTAAATATATACAACTATTCAAGAGATAACTGAGATCTACGCGCTTTTGCTTTACACACCATTGGTCTATACTATAACGTGGAATGAGGTAAGAACCAAACTTTGTAACTGACCAAATAAAAGCAATGTTAACGACAAAAAATTGTCACATTCAAACCTCTTCATTATTTTAATAAAATGAAGAATCTTTTAAGAGAAAATAAAAAAAATATATTATAATTTGTCACTTCACTTGTTATATTTGCAAATCCAGTTAATTTTGAGGGATCTATGAGTGTGTGTAGACTTACCCACGGTAGCATGAATTTATGACACACTAAGACTTGCTCTCCACTCAACTCATTGTCCCTTCCATTTCCTTGCAACAAAAAATCTAATCTTTTGTGTCAATTTTCTCTGTTGGTCCCCACAATCTCAAGTCATTCAATGGATCTGTCCTTAAGGTGCTTTTTCTTAATGGTAGTTTGTTATGCCCCCCACCATTTAATGCTTTCTAAGAGATAGAATCTCATTATGTCAAAGGATAAGCAAACACTATATTACTAAAGGTTCAAGATTCAGCTAAGATGCAACTTGACTGGTAGTGTAAGGTTATGCCTAATTCCTATGTTGCAAGAGAAAACCAATCAACCAAAAAGACTGAAAAATAAAAATGAAAATAGAGGCAATGACTATGTGACTAATGTTTGAAGATTTATGTCATATTGCTTCCTATCTTGATTTCCTTTACCTTTTAGCTGGTGGAAATGGAGCAGGGTTGGGTTTTCAAGTCTATGTAAGTATATTTCCTTTCTTTCTCCGTCATCTCAAAGAAGATAAGATGTGTGTGTATGCATGGCGTAAAGTCACTTGATAAAAGGAAATATTGACATGAATATTTAGATTTCTATATTATGATTAAGCATTTCTTGTTACAACTCATATCTCCATAAAATGTCTCCTCATAACTGAAAAATTGGCCAAGACCCATTAATATTGATCACAGAAAATTTGGTCAAAGTTGGGAACATATACAAAATACAAATGGGATCCTTAAAAACTCATGCTTTAATGGGTTTTTACTTTTTAAAATGCATCTTTGATACAGCATAAACATCCTTGCCGCAGAAAACAATGTTTCATAGAGCATGATTAAGATCAAACCAATTTTCTCCCCGTAATCCTTTGTTGATTTACACTATGAATATAACTTTATTCTTCAACTTAAAACTGAAAGCTTCCTCCTTACCCTCCTGTTCAGTCTCTGCAATATTCTACCAATTCTCACGGTTTCCCTTTCTATAATCAGTACATGGGAAGCTTATATATTGAAAGCTATGTTCTTGTAAGGAAAAGGAAAGTGGGGTTAGAAGGTTTCACTTCACCTGAGAAGAGCTGCCTCTGGGGCTATGTTTATAAGAATTTCATCATGATGAGATACACAAAACAAAGTTCACTGTCTTAGAATGATGCAACTAGCTGCATCTTTCTTATCATAACGAAATAGTTAATATAGGAAGTGGTAGACTTTTCCATAGTCATTAATTCAATAATTGCAATCTCAATGCCCTGTGTTTAGTTTAAATTTATTGTTACGACTGTATGGTTAAATTAAATTCTTTTATTACTTGAATTATTAGCTAATATAATTTTTGCTTCAGACCAGTGTCAAGTGTAATAAAAGACACTAAGAAAAGCCTTTGGTAGTTGTTCCTACGTAAGAAATTGAAGACTTTCACACTTGGCCAGGCATTGTTCTACTGTTGCAACTTGTGTATAGCCTACTTCAGCTTGTTTGATTGAATGTATCAGACTTCCGTATCATAAAAATGCTCATTAAATAAATGATTTTGGTTAGGTTCTACTGAATGATATTTTTCAATTAGGCGGATTCAGACATTGACCAAAAATATTTTTAGCGGACAAAAGAGTATCTTTATCTAGAACTCCAGCTAATGTTCATTTTCAATCATTTTTGTTATAATTTAGTTACAGATCTTCATTGAAAAAGAAAATGAGTTCCTGATGCTGACTACATATTGAACAACTGACCTGACACAAGCATATTCTGAACAGCATCAACCAGCGTAGGCTTATTCAGATATGTTGTCTGTATGACTCTACAGTCTACAATACCAATTAGTTTAGCTACAAATATGAAAGCTCAACTCACTAAAATTCAGCAAAGTTCCCGTAACGAGATAAATTTGTTTAGCCTTAAGGTTCACATTATCAAAGATTTAAGGAGTAAACCACTGAAGTGGTCTTCCAAATATTGCAATGTTTCCAGATTAATCCATCGAAGATTAAAAATGTCACCACATTTATCCTTACGGGGAATTAAAATGAGACGTAAAAGGACAAGATTGGTAACTTTCAGATATCCTTGAGTGACTAGTTTGGTGATAAAAGAATCCAACGATTAATACATTGACACATATTAATCTTTATACAAACAATTTAGGCGTTCACTCCATGGTTTGATTATACAGGTATCAAGATTGCAATGCAAAATTAATGACAATGGAAAAAGCTACAAGTATTTCATTATGATAAGAAAGATGCAGTAAGCTTGCATCAGTGAAAACTTCATGTGAATCATACACATTACATATCTTATAATGATGAAATTCCAGCACCACGTGAGAAGGAACCATGATACACTCACCAGCCCTTCGTACACACTACCAGTACTTCTAACATGATAATACATCCAAACTAATCACTATTAGCAACACAATCCCTATAACTACATTGACAAGATATACCGAGCGTGGAACTAGGCTTTGGCATGATGAAGGTGTCTCCAAGAAGATGAAAGAACCTTTTTTATTGACATAAGAGGATTGATGGCTTTTGGTTTGAAAATTCTCTTTTGAACTAGAATTTTGAGCATTTTTCAGGTCTTTTCCTGATTCCTCAACAGTCAATTTCAAATCCTGCAAAACAAATCACATGGAACATGTTGTTATGACTAGTATGTTAAAATGAAATTGGCTTCAAATGAAGAGTCTGCTTATTTGGTCAGAGACACGGTTCTCCAGTTTTGGTTTTTCTCACCTCAACATGGGATACTGCTTTGTTTGAAACCTTCCGATGTGTTTGAGATCTTCTTGCAACAGCTCTTTGTGATATGAAGTTCTCCGATCTTGGATGATGTTGAGTTTTCCATCTTCTTAGAGTAGAAGGAGAGCTAGAAATTTCGATACAATTGATCTCTAAAGGTTTATTTCCATTCGAGTCACAAGATGATGTCTCTGCTGCCCAGTAATCATCTCGAATGACCCTGTCCTTTTTCTCTTTGTTTGCTTCAGAAGATAGAAGATGCACGCCACCATGGGCAGAACCATGTGATGATTTAAACATTTTTGACACATGGTATTCACTTGAACTAGGATGTTCATTACACACTCCGCACGTATCCACAATATCGCCATGCTGTAATAATTTCAGAAGAAAATAATGGAAAAAATCAATTTTTAAAGTGCTCCAAAAATAAATCTGGAAAAACATCAAAACCAGACATTTCCCCTCACAAGAAAACATCAAAACCAACTCAAAACAGAACAGACATTTTACCCAAGTATCTTTTCAGAATCTATAGGAGAAAATCACTAAACAATGCAAAAATGTGGCAAAACAAACATCACCAGTGTACATGGTGTTAACCTGTGGAACCAATGAATAGTTCAAAAAGAAATGAAGATACCCTCCCAATATCATTAGGACTTTCGTTTGTACAATATATCTTTACCATTGTAGAAACAACTTCAGCATCTGTGTCACTGCTTTCATTGAATACCCTTCTCAATGACTCTGACTGGATAGAACTAGTGACAAAAGCATGCTTTCTTTCTTCACTTGTAATATTTTCTTGAGCCCAAATTGAATTAAAGAAATCATCTTCTTCTTCGGTAGTTTCAAATGAAGTTTGCATATCAATACCAATTGGAGACTGTTGTACTGGGGGGGAGAATAGCTGTGTCTGATGTATTTCATCAAAGATTCTTTCCATATTTATGTCAGGAAAAGCACCTAGCTGAGACAAATATAAAACTAGTATCAGTTCTAAGCATGTTTCACTTGGAAAAGTGTAAATGTGTTCATAAAGGATGCTTCTTCTTACAGGTGAAAATTCTACTTCTGATGCCCAATTTTCACGGTCAGAAGAGGCCATGTGTCTACTGGACTCTCCTTGATCATAGATCAGTGCATTGGTTCCCCCTTCAGATTTTTTTTCTGGTTTCTTAATCAAGCGACATAAAACAAAAGTCCTCTGGAAAGTTTTGAGGATAATCAAGATTTATTTGATTTATTTCAAAACAATTTCCCAGATAACAGGAAATCAGAAAAAAAAAAAACAGAAAAAGGTTTTTAAAAGCAAACAACAGTAAACAACCAGACCCTTATTTCCTGAACAGCTGTATGCGCAGCAAAAACTTAAAAAGAATGACATGGTGGTATGGGCATGCAGCAAAATAACATTTATTTTCTCAATAGAAGTTATGTAGCAGCAATTGACAGTCTATGACGAAAACTGATGATGAATATTGAGTACGTTCAGGTAAAAAACTTAAATACTGATTTAATGAAAGTTCGTTATGTGAGAACTTACTTTATCCGGGAACTCATTGGAATAAACTAAAAAGGAAAAAGAGCTTATTTTGATAAGTTTCCTAGCAAGTTTTATCGAAATAAGTTAAAATAAAAAATTCACAAGATTCTAAACCACTTTTATAAGCTCAAATAAACTTTTCCCGATGCTCCTTTGTCATCAAGGAAGGCCAAATTGTGACGACTGGTTCATGAACAGAGTATGACAGGACAAAACAAAACAAAGGATTCAACCAAAGGATCCAATAACGTTCTACCATCAGAACATTCAATCCAATAGGAAGGGAAATAATATCAAACCCAGAAAATTTACATACTATAGCAACAAAAAATCTAGAACGAAGGAGGCGCAGAACTTATGGTCATGGAAATGATTATAGAAATAATGTATGACTCAAGTTATTTTTAACTTGATCAATAATAATCTTGTTGATATCTGATCAAAATAAGCTCTTTTTACCTTATCTCAATAATTTCCGTGACCAAATTTATGATACAAATCATCCTGCTTGATCAAATTTATTCAATAAGAACGTATTAAATAAACATTTAATTAAGCTGCTTACCCAAACACATCCAAAGATGATTACCAATTAGTGTTAAAGTTTCTTGAGCAAAAGAAATAAACCTGGTTTTCAGGATAGTTAACAGCATGATGATATTCATGAATAACCCAGTTGGTGTTGACACCAGTAGGGACACGACCACTATGGAAAACAAGAGTCTTCTTTCTCCCAATGATATTGTTGGTTCCACTAGTCTTAATCTGACGGTCTTTTCCAGTGGATTTCCAAAAGCCACGTTTGGTAGTCCTGTTAAACCTTTTACTATTTGAATACTTGTAATCAATAGGACTGAAGAAAAACCATTCTGGGTCTTCGGATTTTATCACTGATTTTGCTGATGAAACAAAAAAAGAATCAAACAACTTTGAAATATAGGGAAGAAAAAGAAAAAGAAAAAGTACATTTTTTTATTGCATAATGATGAAGGGTACATTACCTGGTATGTCCCAAGGTTCCACCTTGCACAGGTCAATCTCAGGAATGATCTGAACAGGGAAATCATCATGCAACAACTTATGTTTGAGGTAAAACTCCACAAGCTCTTCATCTGTGGGACGGAATCGGAATCCTACAGGCACACAATCCAGCATGGAAACAATGTTTTCCATTGCTTTTGCTATGTTCAACACTTAACCAATTAACTAACTAGTGTGCTTGTAGTTTGAAATTGAGAAAGAAATGATGAATGAGAATGAGGAATGAGTTAAGAAGAGTGAAGGAATAAAGAAAGGAAAGAGAGAGTTCGTGTTGTATGATTGGCTAATGAGAGTGAATATCAATTTGTAATGCAAAGGCAAAGGCAAAGGCAAAGGCATTGACTGACTGAGAAAGTTTGAGAGCCACCTTTCCACTTAGCTCATATGTTATCGACAAGGACAAAGACACACGAATATGTCGTTTTATATGTTTCTTTTTTTCCTTTTTATCTCACTGTATTTAAAACCAGTTAATAAATAATTAAAAGTTGAAAACTAACTAAAAATTAAAAGGTTGATTAGAGATTGAAAGTTAAAAAAGTTAATAAATTAAAATTAAAGGATTTGATACAATTTATTTTTGAATAATTATAAGTATAAAATAAAATAATATAGTTAATTATTTAAATACATTAAGAAAATATATACATACAATAATAATTCTTTTTATGTTTTAATTAATTTATTTTATCAATCTAAAAAGTTATTACAACATTAAGGAATGCCATGTTAAAGCAAGTGATATATATATATATATATATATATATATATATATATATATATATATATATAAGAAAAGTTAAATATTTTAACTTTCTCTCATTAAAGATTTTCATTTCAGATTTCGTTTTGTATGCACCAAACTATGTAATCACTTTTCACTCTATTTTAATTTTATTCATATATCAGAATTACATTACTTGCATTAATTTTTTTGACAGAATGCAAGACAATAAATTGCTTCTAAGCCATAAAGATGCCTTTTGCTTGACCTATAATTGAAGTGTGGGTAAGCTAAAGCAGTAGTAGGAGGCATGTTTGGATACGTAGCTAAGTGTCTGAACTAATACTACCGCGTAGGAATAAGAATCTTCTTTCTGCCACAACTCACCAGTCACTTTCACTCAAACTCAAATGGATTTAAGGTTATTTAACTTTTTGTTTTTACAAAATACTAACAATTATCTTTAAGATAATGGTTAAAAAATTTAATAGAGTAATACTATATTTATGTTAATAATTTTTAACATATTTTTTAATGAAACATTTTTATTTATAAATTCTTTAATTATTACTTTCAAAATATTGGTGGGCAAGACCCTATTTTCTCATCGAATAAGGTTATAAACGTTATGAGTCAATATCATTGAAGATTAATGACTATATATTAATTAATTATGGGATATGCTTGAAATACTTGATCTGTAGAGCATTTGATCTGGATATTTCATGTATTTACCTTCTTTGAACTAAGTTGACAAAAAACAAAATCCTTTGAACAAAGGACTAACTTTCGAGAATAAAATAAAGAGTTGTAATTATTGATTAAAAAAATAATTAAGATTATATTGAATAAATGTGTATGCAATAAATTATTATGTAATGATTAAAATCTAACTATTTAATATTTCAATCAGTGGTTACTCTATTAATAACATCCTCTGGTACACTGTTATTTTCCCATGATGCAGAATTGTTAATAAATTTCAAATCAAACTAAGGGGATAAAATAGCTAAACAGGTAATATGTGGTTAATTTGATTGTAGATGAAATACAGAGAGCCAATAATTTGATTTATGGCTTATTATTATTTTAGCTGTGATTCCCAAGATTGTTCCTTGGCCCACCATTTCAATTCTTTGCCCTTTTAGCATCTTTTGTTGGTTTGTTATGCTCCCCATTATGATCTAAAGATGAACTAATGTTTGACTTATAGTCAATAGATAAAATATGATGATCATAAAGGGAGCTTCTTTTCAAGATTTTTGAGCATGCTAACTTCCAAGTGATGATGGCATTCATGAACTTAACAATTATAGATAGTAACTGTTAGTATAGTATCTTAGGACTTTTATGTTAAATTAAAAAATTAATGTAATCATTAAGATAAACCTCTAATTTAATTAAAAAAAGAATGTTATCAGCACTTCAAAATTATCACCCAAATTTCGTTCAAAAATTAATGCCATGGACTCTCACTCTTTCTGTATTTACACTTTCTGGGCCTAGAGAATGGGGGAAAGGTCTTAAAGTTCTTATAAATGGCTTTCCATTATCCGGTATGAGTGGTTGACCAAAAACAAATGTCCAATACGAGCAGGTTTATGTAAAGTTTAGTAAAAAAAATGCACGATTCAAAACATGTAATGATAAGAGTATTTTTTGTTAGCTCTTAAAAAGAAATAAGTAATGGTTGATCACTAATTTATAAACTTGCGAAGATTTATATTATTCATATATTGTTTATAAAAAAATTTATGTTTACTTTTTTTATCAGATCAATCATCTCTTGTTATATTTCTCTCTTTTATCTTTATATTTTCCTTTATTATATATTCAAAATTTGTACACATACAATTTTCTCATACGTAAATCATCAAATGAAAATATTTATTGTCACTCTCAAATGTTTATTATCGCTCCTTATTTAATTTTTAATTTAAATAATAATATTAATTTAATTAACCAATACAAAATATTTTATTTTAAAAAAGAGTTACAATAGACACGTCAAACCTTTATAAATAAAATGAATTTTATATAACAAATGCATGATAGAGTGGAAGTTTAAATAATCTACTCTAAATATAAAATAAAGTCTAGCATTTTTTTTTACCACTTAATATACCTATCTTCCCTTCTCTATTATTATGTATGTTTAAGAAAAAATTAAAAATGTTTATTAATATAAGACCACAATATTTAGAGAACTCTGCAAACCAAACGAATTCTTATAATTTTATACATAGATACTTAAAATATTATAAGACATAAAATTACTCTTCCATATAATGGTTAACAATACACGTTGGTAGTTGGATTAGGTACGGGCTAACTGTGAATAAGATGCTGAGTTGAATGAACTATGTGGGTCATAGACCTTTCCCCCCCCCCCCCTTCCAAATCTCTAGATCCAAACAATGAGTGAAGGAGATAATATATACATCCATTTCTTACATTGCAAAAATATCTCTAACTGTTATCCCATCACCAAAAAATACATGGCCAGGGCTTACCAAAACTGAGTATACCATACACTACTTTTGATTCCACACAGTGCATATACAAGCAGATTAATGGCATAACTCGTTTGGCATGTGTAACGCTCCAAATTTTGTAATATTAATTATTGATAATTATATAAATCTAAATGTATATTCATGTGTGTATTTTTATATATATGTTGTGAATATGTATATATATATATATATATATATATATATATATATATATGTGTGTGTGTGTGTGTGTGCATGACTGGTTAAATTGAAATGAGCTGAGTGCCTAAGTACAGGACGAGATACTTGGTTGTTCTCGCTGCAGCGAAAGGATTCTCGCTATAGCGAGAAGGCCTTGGGAAAAAAGACTGAAACTGTCACTTTTTTGTTGTACGAGAGACGTCTATAGCGAGAGAGCGACAGTTTGGGGTGCATTTCTGGGTGCAGTCTCGCTGTAGCGAGATTCTGCAGAAACTAGAGTGCAGTTTTCTCTAATTTTTTCGTTGTAGCGAGAGGGCATGTCGCTGCAGCGAGAATATCTCGCTGTAGCGAGAGTGTTGCGACCAGAAAAGGATTTAAAGGGGTTAAGGTTCGTAAAGAGTTATTTCTCCCTCTTCCTTTGAAATTCTTTTGATCCTCTTGTTCCCAAAGCCCTATTCTACCGATTAATTGCCTCCAAAGCCGTTCGGGAGCTTGATTGAAGGTTGAATCCGTGTGAGAAAAGCTTGGAGGTAAGTTTTAATGGTTAGGGTTCCGTTTCTCATCCCCTTTTCTCTGTTTTCATGGTTTCTTTGGGTTTTCATGGAGTTTCTTCATGTGTTTAGGACGAAATCCGTGAGGGGAAGCACCTCTTGGTGGATTTAGCGTGTGGATCTTCAATCCAAGATAAGGAGAGACTCTATCCTACTCTTTTGTGCATGAATTGTTGTTGTTTTGCTGAATATTGTGTTGTGACTGAGTTAGTGGGTAGAAAATTGCTAAGAAATGTAATGTGGATCAAGTGCCGTGATGTGTGAACATTATGTGTGTTGACCCCAAATTGATGGATTGTATGTAAATGTTGTGTGATAGAATGAGGGCATGTATGCCGAGTGTTGTGAATGAATATGGACACTTGTGCCGTGTATTTGAATGAATATTGTGAAAATGTGGGTCCAAGGGTCGTGTAATATAAACAATAATTGTAGGCTATGTGTCGTGTGCTGTGAAATGGAATGTGGGCTGTGTGCCGTGTGTAAGCATGATTACTGCATGCGTGAATGGAATATATGCGATTGGGCGTATTAGCGCTGTTGTAATGTGCTATGAATGGTTCAGCGATACACTGGGGATATGGACGGTAGAAATACTTTGGGAAAGAGAGAATGGTGGTGACATTGACTGCGGAACGGGTGCACCACGGGCCACACACTCTCTTCCTGACTAGACCTTTGACTACTATATTTGCTGAGCAACCAGTAACTGCTCACATGGTATCCGTGAGGCAGGGGTAACCAGCGACCATTCATGGTGTAAATCTGTGATCACAATACTATAGTGAGTGGCTGATATGCGTATGCATGAATTTGTGTTTTGTACTTATGGATGTGAATTGCTACCTGTGATTGTGTTTGTTAAATGTATTGAGAAGGTTCTGAATGTGAAACTCTATGTTGATTATGTGTTTTGGGTAGTGTAGAGTATTCACCCTTACATTCATTTTTCAGGTAATCAAAACAATCAACACCAAACTCAGTGAAAGGATGGATGGACTGATATAAGACTTAATTTTTATTTTAAAATTTGTTGTAACTAAACTAGTCTTGTAGCAGTAATTTGATATTAATTTGTAACCATTCCCTTATTTTGAAGTATTTTATGAAAATTGATTATTTAAATTTGTGAAATTTTTATTAAATTAAAATTAAATTTAAGGTGTTACGTATAGAACTATAAATGAAAGTTAAAAATGATCACTTTTTTTACACCTATATCAAACTTATCCTAAAATTGAAAATTTTCTGTAGTCTATACCTCAATTAGCGCACTTCTCTGTTCTTGCAAAGTGTCCAAAAATAT